AGGAGACTGTGTTCGTCAGACCTCTAACCATTGACCAACCTGGTATGAGAGACTCTGAGTGTCGCGGGACACTCTCCAGTATAGCTCAGTGGATCGCTGAGGTGCGCAAACCGTCACACCACGGAAAGGTCCAGTGTCTTCGTGACGGCCGGAACTAATGACTCTATGGTTTGACCTGCTCAGCTAAAGGAGGATGGATTGGCCCGATGGTGCGGGCAATGATGTATTGCCCTCGATGAAGTTGTGCACAGCATGTCCGGTTGGAGTCGCAGCGGCATCTAGGTGGGTTTAAATGGTAGTTGGGCAAACTGCCGATGGGTCACGAGCAGCTGTTGGGTGATTGAAATGTGTAGGTTTTAGGAGCTACGGCTTTTAACCAGTCCTTCCTGGCGGGTAGCATGGTTGTCTTTATACGGACATGAGGGTCACCAGGAGAAAACACGCTATCACCTTTACATTCGAATCTTAGAGGATAGTACGACGTTACCCCCACACCACTTCGTATAATGCGGGGAAGAAGCGGAATAAAAACGTTCTGGCCTCACTCGTTGAACTGAAACGCGGGGTCGGAGGTACGTACAAAACTGTGATGCATGTTGGATTTAGAGCTAACTCGGGTAGGGATGACACTGTCTAGGCGGAACAAGGTATATACGGACATAAATAAGGACGAGTTCGAGGGAAATTTACAGTCCGGCATCTCACTAGAGCCTGCTGGTACTTCTAGGCCTGTAGATCATGTGGTGGGAAATTCCTTGGGTGACAGTTGAGTAGGTTTAATGGCGGAGAGGCCTAACTTACCATCTGAAATTCTGCAGCAGTCTATCGGATACGCCAGAAATACTATCTTATTTACCCTACAACCCCCAACCACCTAGTGCAGGCGATCAGCGCCTGAATAGGGTTCACAAAGGGAATCAAACCAATCATGGCAACGGAAGTGGTAAGCATGTATTACATGGCCCTGCGTGCAGCCTAGATTGCCATCTGCTTGATAAAACATGTGAATTAGCTCAGTCGCGAGATCGCATAGTTGGTCGAAAGACCTTCAATAATAATAAATAATCGTTCAGCTGTAGCACCCTTTCAGTGGCTAACTGCCATGCCACCCGAAAGAAGCACGAGGGCTGGGATGCTGCTAGGTTGTCCAAACCTAGACAGAAGAAAATGAGAGACAGAGGTCGGGTTCGAACCACGAACCTTCCGGTCAACAGATTTGCGCTCTAACCACTGAGCCCTCTTGCCCCTTGCACTGCACTGCCCTACAAAGCAGACAAGTACCAGAGGGCCGGTTAAGAGCTGTGAGAACTCAACGACCACCAGGTTATACATCAGCTGAATGGAGCCATGTACAATCGAGGCGGCATTGGGTCCGAATACAGCAAAGATGAAGAGCCCTCAAGGAGTTTCGCTGCGAACCCAAAGTAAATGATACTAAGCCAAACGAGAGAAAAATCAGATGCGTAGTTAGCCGAAGAAACACATCGATAGACAAGGGATAGAGTGATAGAGCGCTATTCGTGACAGGTGAATAGCACCAGGGCCCAGCTGAAACTGGACGAGCACCCGCTAATCATCTAGACGAACCTCTGCATCTCGATCTCCTCTGCGTGGGCTCAAGCGACTTGGCAGAATGCCAATCCTCGTGCTTCCTTCAGGTAACATGCCAGCTAGGCACCGAAAGGGTAGTACAGCTGAACCCAACAGAATAGCTGCCCTGGATCGCGCAAGCCAACTCCTGACTTACTGCATCGCTACAACTCCCTAGCTACCTAAGCACTGTGAATTAAGGTTTTTTTGGACTGTATGTTCGCATAATACATAAAGATGTCCGCTGTAATCACTTCCCCATTTTCGTTCCCGGGTTACTTGAGACACTGCATTAATGCATAGAATTCTTGCGCCGGTTTGGAGTATCACCTGCAGCATCAAACATTTACAAACGTATCAGGGACCGGAATCAAAGACAAACCGTCCTGTATATGCACCATTATCAGCATGCCTACATACTCTCCTATTTTACTGCATACGCACCACATGTGAATTATGGAACACGGGTGTTCCAAAGGACACGCTCTGTAGAATTGCTAAAAAGCAACACAAATGAGCCTAAAAACCTACATCTGCTATGTACGGGAGTTCGGTTGGCACTAGACAGGAAAGATATGCAACCAATCGTATATACAAAACACCTACACAGAGTTCAGCTCTATCGGTGGCCCAGTCAGAACGCTGAGCTTCCATCCGTGCCCATTCCGACTGAAGGAAATGCAGGACACCCCGTATATTGTAATTTGATGCAGCTTTTGTCTGATCTCCCTGCGTTAAATTCGTGTCACATGGGACTTCATATTCAAGGTTTAGGAAACCCAGGTCGGTATCCATCTGGTGACCTTCAGGGCGGCCGGCCATGAGGAACTACGGACGCCCGAGTGTTTTCTTTGATGCCTTAAAACAAACCAGTAGGGCGAGATCACCCCAAGTAAATGTAAATTACTTTCGGGGCTTTTCAAACTTGCAACTTTTTCGTTGAGATATTCTAATCCGTCTGAAGGTTTTAGTGGAACATTGTTCATTGCATTTTTTGACGGAGCGAAATTTCAAGGTTGTCCTCCCACACCGAGTCGCATTTTCTAGCCGGCTTACGAGATAAAGAACGAAATCAAACCTTAGCATCTTGCAACAGTCCATGATGCTAGTTACAAATGATATGACATCCACGAAATATCCATTGCAAATTGCACCTAGAAGAATAGTGATCAACGTCTGCGAGCGTAAAATATCACAAACGAGAAAAACCAGATGAGTTCATTCAGCGTAGTTCGTCACAACACAGCTTATTGGAAAGCTCACCGCACGCTCAGTATAACAATGGAAGATAAAATTTGATGCACTCTGCGGTTTTGAGGACAGTACACACCTCTGTGGATAATCTCCATTCTCTGATATGTACATCTAGCGCGTAGATGCGAAATAAATCCGTGTTAATAAACAATGCAACATCTTTCCCATTCACAGTAGTGACGAAGTTGGCGGTAAATGGGTGCAAACTTTGCCGGCCATTTTGATAACAGCGCGCGCTGTCGCTTACCTTAACTATCTGCCGTATATGCCAGGCCAGTGTTTATGCACGAGGCTGATTATGAGGCCCCAACTATGTACAACAGCTTAATCCGATGGCCAACAACGGCCCATCACACTCGCAACTGTAGGCGTAGTTGCTAATCTCTGTTACTTATAGTAAACACCAAGCCAGTATCCATATGGGCCCATGAATATGAGGCCTCAAAAATACGCAATAGCCTAGCCCAACGGCCAACGATGGTCAGTCATGCATGCACAGGCTGTCTGGCTGTCCACTCAACGCCGGAATATACACAACAATCCCTGGCAATTCGCATGTTTCCGTTGATTAGTTCCATCGGTACAGACGTAATGTGTATTGAATCAAGCTCTCGTTCACAGGATACCGCTTTCCCTTGACGGGGTTACTTGATGGAAGAATGTACAATCAGTTACACCCCATGTACAGGTTCAAAAACATCACTGAAAATACATACTTAAACATTGTTGTTGAAGCAGACTGATCCAGTGTTTAATACATACCGCTGTCCAAAAAGCCTAACCAGTGTCCACATTGAAGCCGGAGTATATCCGTTATATGGGTAATCTTCCAACCTCCTCAATTATCCCCAATGCCGATAACGCGGGATCCGTCTGTACAGTGACGATACGGTAGCAAACCTCGGTGATCATATGCATTATTAGACGCAACGAATTAAGGCTAAAGGAGAGTTTTTTAAGTCAGTTGTACGGTCGACTGGACAGACTTGATCCAAGGATTCAAGGACATCATGCGTCTTCAGACGCTCACCCATGGATATTGCAGTGGCAAAGATCCCGTGATTGAGCGAGAACTTTGTGCCGAATCTCTTTCTTAGGGCAATAAATCCTAACTACACTCCATTTCTGACTCGATATTGACGCACTGTAGCTTGACGGGAACAACAGACCAGTTGGCTTCTCCATAACTTGTGGCCATCCCGTATTCAACGACAGTAAAAATGTCGCCAACTGGAGGCTCTCTTCTGAGAAACCGATTATCAGCTCCCTTGCTCCAGTTTAGTGACTGACTTTTCTGTGATCTTCAGCATCCTATTTTAAATGAAAAATTCTACATCTCAAGCATGCATTTTGAAAGCCGCTTGCTCTTTCAAGCTTCTCCGAAGCTCTCTTCTGTGTTTGGCGCATGTTTTTGGACAAATTCAACGTTCATGACGAAGTATTGCCTTCAAACTTCACCTCCATGACCATGCCTACAATATCAGAATAGATGAGCTACTGAGACCGTCACCTCTGATAAAATCCAACTATCTCTGCTGATCTAGCTGGGGACTGTAAGTTTTATTGCATCTCACAGTTCATGAACAGATATCCCTAATCCACATCAGGACAACATTTATTGTCACAATACCACCATTTCCGCGTTTGTCCCCTGTGTTGCAACTTCATATATATTTACGTTACATCCTGGGCGATCGATAGACAGTTACCCTCCACAATCAGTATACTCAACCCGCCTGGCACGCTTATCCACATTTGTACCAACCGATCGGCCTCTGCAGTCACTACCCGACCCTAAACATCCACCAAATCTACCCGTACCTTGCCAGACCTTCTGTCTCCGACGATGCAAAAGGCTGCACGGCTGACAACCCCACATCGACTTTGTGCCCTCCGTACAAGGACAATCTCAGTTTAATGAGATTCATTTAGAGGAAAGGCTTCGCCCGAACTGATGTTCGCACTTTCCAGCCGCCCCACACATCTGACACTGAAATCATCTAGCCGAACTTGGGCGCGCGTGCATGGTCTACATGTCAGCTCGTTTTGTCTGTGTCTCGTGACGTAATGTATAGGTAGATCACTAATTGCGAATAGCATCTGACGCCAAGGTTGGCACATTTTGTGAATTCATGTATTATATTAACGCTACATTACAGAAATCCGACCTTGTCTCTACTTGGCCCTCCAGAAGTCTTTAGTTTTACACGAAACCGGAGAATAAAATTTGGCTTTGCCATATAGAATCCAGCACAGTGGGCCTCGGAAGCCTGTGCGCCTCCGCATATTTGGCTGCAGAGAGGAACAAATTGGCAGCCATTAGTTAAAAGGGTAACACCAGTGCTGATGCTGCGAGGCACCTGTTTGAGGAATTGGACGATAACTATTGAAGTTGGTGCATGTAGGGGATATCAATTTCAACTTGTTCGTCAGTAAGTAAGGCACCATGCAATCCAGGTACGGCCGGTATTTCTGGAGACCCAATAGTTAGCGGGCACCAGACGCGCGAAATAACGCAATACTAGTCAGTCGTTAGAGATGACGTCGCGTATGCCTGGTCCCACGCGGATACCGGCGATGAGGAAGTTTTATAGAGTGAGTATTGCCTCATATCGATACATCTAGAAACAAGCTAATGGCTTCCTCCCACCAGCAATACTATTCAAGAAGGCCATACGCCTCCTGTAACGATATGTTATAATAAAACGCATAATGAGATTCAGGTTTTCATCTCGTCCAGTTTGGACGACCGATTGTTTCCATGTGAACAGAGTGGACGCGTGTCGGTCGTATTCATCAGCTAGCTTCGTTCATTTGTTCGCGATAAGCAAGCGGGGTTACAACGGACCAGTCGGTTTGGCATTGTGAGCCCGTAATAACATGTTCGTCTTGTGCGTCAGATAACTGCTTACTGCTCGGTTAAACAACAAACAGTGCGTTTATGGAAAAATTTAACCAAGAGTTGCATTCCACTCCTTGAGTTGGGTGAGACTCAATGGCGCTATGATAATGGGCAGCTCATTTTGTACATCTCTGGCAGCAAACTAGCTGGCGAATCCCTGCGAACAGGTTAAGAACGCCTGTTGTTTTGCCATTTGGAATAGGGGCCTCTTTTGCCAGTAAAAAGATCTGAAAACGTAGTTCATAGCAAGCAATGCACCGCGGGAATGGGACGTCATCGTCTTCAGGTCTCAACGTCTACCATGGTACGAGCTACACAAATTTGATGAATATTTCCATCAGTAAAATCAAACATTATAGCTCCTCTCGAAGAGTGGAGGCACAGGGTTCGCCATCCGTCTGGCCGAGCAGAATACACGAGGAAAAATTTAGTCGCACTAGTGTAAATCTCGCACAATTATCGTCTACGAGCACATGCATAAACCCACGAACTATTATAATTACAATCATTGTTTATTTTAAGCGATTTACTTTTTCGGACGTGCCGCGATATACCATTTTACTACGCATTGATTTGCCATAAAAAGCGTCTGTTGGCCCAAAAGATCCCCCACTTAAGCCAACTATGCATACGGAGAAGTTTGAAGAGTACAGTAGACAAAGACGCTATTAACTATGAAGTAGTATTCTAGAGAACAACCGAGTTCCCTAGAGATTGGTTATATTCACCAGATACCAATGAGTCCCATTATGATATGGCATCTGTTTTGACTTTAAAGAAATTTTGGTTAGAAATTGTCCTTTGCTAATTTATCATTACCCATAGCCTCTGTTACTGATATGTTCTAACTGTTTTAACTGTTATTAGCTGTTTGTAAACTGACAACCACCAACGAAAATAAGTTGTACTAGAATATGTTATGTGTACCTGATAAAAATAAATACAATGTAAGAAGAAAACAAGCCAAAAAGTGACTTACGTTTGGGCACAAATGTTGGGAATACCCGTGTGAATCTCCGGAGGCGTGATTCCCTTGATGACGTAAGGTGTATTTCATAGTCGAAAATGAAAATTCTTTTGGTACACCTAACTCACGCAATGACAGGTTGAGTCCGAAATCTTCCATGTTTGCGAGAGAGATCCACTGCGACATTCATCCGGGTCTCTCGCAGACGCAGATGGTTATAAAGTGCTAAGTGTATTGACATCGGATGAAAAGACGGATCGCGTCCAGCATGGCTTGGACATCCCTTCACCGTCATCGAAATCGAGAGCATCACATCAGTAATAAATGTTGGCGGTTAAATGTCATACAGCTATGAGGAAACGTGCTCCATAAATGGAGCTGGGGTGTGTCAAGACCAAGCACGGCGGGGTAACCAGCCCTACGTCCCTCCGGAAAACAGCAGGGAGCAAGGAAACTGCAAGCCGGAATAGCAACGAAGTAAACGCATATTTGCTTTATATCCCATTAAGACGCCATCCCACCCAACCTCACCTGGGAGCCTCACCAGCCATGAACCCAACATACAACGACAACCAAACCTAATTTGAGCAATACGACGAGGATCCGTGGAGAGGCAGATTTCGAAGGTGAACCACACGGACGTCAACCAAGAAGTCGTGGAGTACCCGAATTGCCGATAGCGAAATTCAGCTTGCGTCACTGGGGTGGGCCTCAGTAGGGAAACAAACACTAAGGTTTTTCCATATTTTGTGAGCACATCAAGCTTAAGCAAGATCAGATCGTTACAATTTGAACATGAGCGGTAACAACATGACGGAAAATAAAACTAAGGCATTTAGCTTGGCGCGCAATAATCAAACAGCGAAACGTGAACAAAGAGGAACCATAAAAACGGATCTGATGAGACTGCAGTGTTGCAGTAATCCAGCCGATTAACTTACTTAAAATTGGTCATTGCTGAGGATGCATGACCTTGGACAGCTAGGTTTACGGTCGGGGTCATAAAAGGCGTAGGTGGGGGTTAGGAAGTATAGGAATTCGCGATACGGGTATATGGTCGCTTAACTATCAGAGTCACCGTGTGCATAATGAGAGGGCATAGTAGTGGTAATGCGTCAGCGCAGTTATGGGTCTGGATCTCACAAGCTGGCGTTCTCGTCAAAATAAACACTAAAGGTGAACACGGTATAATAAAAACTCAAAAGAGGGGTAAAGCACACGTGAAGCTTGTTGTGTATAAAGTGCATGAGGCGGCAGCATTCTGAAAAGTCCGACGCCTGAACTCAGCACTGGCAATAGTCATGGGGTGGGTACTTAATTGTTATTGGCTTTTGGGTTCACGATTTCGGCCAATCAGAATTCGCCTCGAGTCATGGATTCACGTATTGATACACGGGGTCGAAGCTTTTCTCCAAGTTTACTGGGTCGGTTTTGTTCTTGTTGTTCAGCTGGTGTTGTTTACCTGGAAGGCATGGACAATCGTCGGAGGAAGGCTATTTCGATTACCACCCGAAATGAGAAAAATTTGGCCTAGTGAAAGTGTGCGCTCTTAGCTTGAAAATCTTCTGACCACGCCCCAGCTGTGTTGGCTGGGTCAAACAGGACATAAATAAGAATTAGGTCTCCCTGGAGGCGACGATACTCCAGGAACGATACTCCAAGGGACGCGTCTCAGCTCACGGATTTACGGCCGGCAACCGTCTGATAGAAGCTTGCTGGACATTCTCAACGAGGATTACGTCCTTCGAGCGTCCTAAGTGGACTACAGGAAGCGGTCTGACGTAGGCTTCGTAGAGTGTTTGTTTTTGCTTGTCCTAGTATGGTGACGTTATTGCAGCCGAATTCGCTACTTCCCGTGTCTTCATTTACAGAGATGAGCGATCAACGCGCTCAACTATAGTTGGTCGCGTCTCCTAGTAGCGAGCTTGTACTCATTGACTCTAGTTGACAGTTTCCTCCGTGTCTCACGTAGTGTCTTAGTCCTTGCATTGAATTTAGTAGGTCACATTTGTCTTCTTCGTTGCTTTATTGGTGCTTTCCGCAGTGTTTTAGTAGGTCTGTACACCACTCTTATATCATGCTTTCATAGTATCTCTGCAGTCATCTCCGAAATGTTCCTGATGCATGGTAGTTTAATTGTTCTGCTTGTAAACTACACTAATTTACAAACCAATTTAGTTTTGCTGGAGACTCACCTGGAACCCAGCTGGATCCCTCGTTTATGTTTTCAAGCAATTGAATGTGCTGCACCAGGCCACCTCATGTTTCAGCTGGTACGGGACGAGATGGCCTTAGTGACTATAGCGCGAATTTACCGACCGGAAGGTCCGTGGTTCGAACCGGGCATCTGGCACTCGACTTCCCCTGTCTAGGCTTGGGCAACCCTGGCATTACCCAGCCCTCGTGCTTCCTCCGACAGGCAGCTAGACACCGGAAGGATGTTACAGGTGAACGATTTGGTGCGATATTCCAGATATCGTGATACATGTATAGACGTGTATAGACTCATAAAGTTGTTGAAACTTCGACAGCTTGATTCCAGGTGAGTCTTCCGCAAAACCAACTCGATTTGCAAACGAGTGTATTTCCCTAACTTCGTGCAATGCGGGTTCAAGTAGAGCATAAGATTGACGGAAACTCGGGAACTGCGTTCATCTGATGGGCCCCAAGAAGGGCGAAACCGGTCGTGGGCTGTCAAAGAATTTTCAACGGCCTTATGAATGCTGTTTTGCTTGTGCTTTTGGTCGTCGAGTTAGCTGAATTGCATTTCCTCAGACATCTGCAGATGAAATTCCCTTTCTTCCATGGGGGTCCTTTCATACTTCTCGACACGATTATGCGCATCCGTTATTGTGAGTCCAATTTTCGTCCTCCGTTGCTTCTCGCAAGCGCCCAGGCCTATGGGTGATTAATGGTTCGTTAGTAGGAGGGATGCGCTACGTGGAGGCATGCGAGTCTCATTCTACCTTCAGGGTTTCCTTCGGCTCAAGTAATGGTATCTCCGGTTTCCCGCGGATTGCAACTGTGAACACACGTCTCTCGGTTCACTCGCTGCAGATGAACAAGTTTTTTTCGAATGCCAATAGTGGATGTGGAGTGATCTCCGTCACGAAGGGACTGGACCTTGCCGTGATGTGACGGTTTGCGCAACTCAGCGATCCACTGAGCTATACTGGGGAGTGTCCCGCGACACTCACAGAGTCTCTCATACCAGGTTGGTCAATGGTTAGAGGTCTGACGAACACAGTCTCCTGGTCCTCCAGGTTGGGGGTTGGAACATGTGGCGACTTGTTCTGTAGAAATGGTAATTCATTTGCATTTCCCGCCAAACACCGCTGCCTTGCGGCTAGGCAGCCTTAGGCTTTTGAGCCAAAGGCTTTGGTTGAGGGCCTTAATCGTCCTACTGTATAGGTGTGGGCGCCCTGACAGTATCCCAGCCCACGTACAACCATGAACTGCACATACACAACCATGATCTCCGTCTAAATACCCTCCAATCGCTTTGCTAGATACGTTGAAAGATCTGATTAGCCACCGGACTTGGTCTTTGGCCGGGTCTGTATCTTCCGATTGGATGTTTGTGCTAGCTAGTTATCATCACCGCTGGCCTAGTTTTTCTTTTTTTAATAAAGAAGGCTTTTTGAAGACAGTTGGCAAGGGTGTCAGCCAGTCCCATATTTTATACAGACTCCCCAAGGTTTCTTTTTATCTCTTGCAGCTTGGCTTGATCCAACTACTCTGGGCTTTGTTGTTCTACAGTCATTGCACCCGGCATAAGTTGCTACGGCAATCGTATTGTTGAAGCTTCTCGCGTCCACTGACCGATTCTTGTGTGATTCTTGCCCAAAATGGAGTGGTTCAGTGGGACAGTGTCGGAGGCAATTCGGGCAGTTCGCAATGAGTCTCGTTTCTTGTTAGTTTTTGTAAAAGGCGCTGATGAATCCTCTGAGCGGATGGATCGGCAGTTCGATGCAGATACAGCAGCAGTTTGTGATGGAGTTGTATGTAAGTTTCTTATTCCACAATTTTTACTTCTGTTTTAATCACGATTTCTTTGATTGCTATGTGTTATTGCTAATATGCCTTCCCTGCACATAATACTTGAGAGAATGGGGGACTATCACAAAATTTTGGCGAACGGTTATCCATCCTTCTAATAAAAAGCCTCGTTAGAACGGCTCGGATTGCACTCTCACTAGAGCATTGTGTTGACAAAGGTTTCGGACTAAATAGAAGGATAAATCTTATTCTCAGCGGCAAACAGAGCAGAAACAAAGGATTGTGGGATTCGTTTAGCTGTAGCACCCTTCCGGTGCCTAGCTGCTATGCCACCCGAAGGAAGCACGAGGGCTGGAATACTGCCAGGTTGCCCAAGCCTAGACAGAGCTAGTCGATTCAAACCACGGATCTTCCGTTCAGTAAATTCACCCTCTAGCCACTTGAGCCATCTCACTATCTCTCTTTTTGGATTGACTGCGATATGTCCCTGGTTACCGTCTACAACAGGGGTCTCTAACCTGGGTGAATATTTAAAAGGTTCAGAAGGTATTTTGAATCGTTTTTGTTCATCCACCCTGAATTCGTTGATTTTTCCGGTTTTGTAAGTTTTTCCCGTAGAGTCCACCACCAGGTAACTATTGACACACCTGATATACTTTGTCTTGGCCGATAAACCTTTGTAAGTCAGGTTTTTCTGTAACCGTAGTTAGTTATCTTACAAACTGGGTATCCCAAGGGTGCGCACGGTACGTAGTTACTCTGTTGCTGACTTGTTTGGAATGAAAATGAGATCGGCCTCAATTATCTCACTGAACTACTACTTATCTTCATTATAATGGTTATTTTTCTTCATTAGATTAAGAGAAATGCTGCCTGTTGAACTGGAAAAAAGGGCGTAGTTATTTTCATTAAATTGGAATAAGTTTGGAACTGATTGAGAAATCGTCGTTCCAGGAGGGCTTGGTAAACAACCGGTAGTAGCGTTTCGCTTTTGACACAGTGAGCGGGTCGCCAAGTTGGCCGAGTTTTATGGAGTAAGAAGCCTTCAGATTAGCGCACTAGATTGCGAACGTCACCTCAGGAACAGAACAGTCCACCCATCCCCTAAGTTCCTCTGGAAAGTCTGTGGACGCATTAGACTTTCAAGCAAAGTTGCCAATAAGACTACGGCTTCGTACACACAGAATTGAGTTCATTTGTTGGTAACATGCGGTGCTCTAATAAAGATTAGGTAAATGCGTGTGATCACCTTTTCTATGTGGGTTTTATTGACTGAATAACAGACTGGTGGCATAAATACCGGCGGTTTTCGTGCAGCGATCAGTACAACCTCGGTGATGAAGTCTCTAGAAAGTGGTACGGCAGCGAAGCATCAGTGCCAACACTGATGTTGCTGTCTTTGATGATGACTAGAAAGTGTCGCTTGTCTTCAGCAAGTTCGAATGGTACCCCCATGTTGTCTGTTGATTTCAAGTACTACATATTTGGTCATTGGGTCTAAAAGAAACCAGAATGAAAGAAGGCTGTGAGGTGGGGCATTAGATTGGAAGAAGTCACAATGGACATTTAGATTCATTGTCAACACTACGAGGGACCTATTGACTTATACTAGTTTGCTCACAATTTTCGTTAGACTGTTACGATGTACCTTCTGAGGCTTCAGAACTGTCGGGAAGGTCCGGATCCTGAAAATAGCATCGGAATGCCCGAGACCCACAGGCGTTTAAACCTCACCAAAATCGCTGTACGGTAGCAAGCATCAGCCAGTGAGCACCCAGTTCAGGAAAGCCAGCTTCCGATTGAACACTCAAGCAGTCAATCGATTCAGCTGCGGCATGCCACGGTAGTACTACCGTCGATGTGCGTTTAGACATTCCATAGAGGCAGCACCGACGATGATAAGTGTTCAGGCATTTCATAGAAGCATGGTTGATGATGGTGGGTGTTCACCAAAATCCGATCAGACAGCGTAGATCAATGTTAACAGTGCCCTTTAAGTACTTCGAGGTCTCTCGTACCTTTCGCACTCTCCAATTCGCATTAATGCTATTGTGTTTCAACACTAAGGTGCTGGAGCGGGGACAGCAGTTAGTTGCAACAGGAACGAATCACTCCATCCAACAGTCTTTGTTCTCCTGGCCATTGGTCTGTTTTTCTGTTGTCGTTTAAGATCTTTGTTTTTTGGCTAACCTCATATCCGACAGTTCACAAAGTACACTTATGAATGTTGGAGTATCTTTTGCATTGCTGTGCTCTGTCTGGCTAAGTCGCCCACCTGTAACCTTTCTATGAGTGACGAACTGTTTCGTGACGTTACCGCCCTTTGTGATATAGCGGTGACCTATTTTCACTGCTGTGCTTTATCAGATAATGTTGTAAGCAGCATTTTTGTCAGTCTGGTGGCCATTCGACCTGGTGTGGCTTGTCTTTTTGACTCCATAGGATTCAGTCAACTTTTATAGTTATTTCGCCCTCCATCGAACAGTTCTTTCCCGGCGCAATTGCTTTGATGGGCCCACAGTGAAGGGAGGTTCCACTTAAGTCGAGTGTCGTTCTTACCAAATCTCATCAGCAGTACATCTTCCTGACCGTGCCGGGTTTTGAGCTCCGAACATCTTACATGAGGTGAGCTTGTTACCATTACTACATCGAAACACTCTGGACGCACCTGAAAACAAACCCGTAATGAATTCAAAGGATCTCTTCCACATTGCGGATTTCAGCGTACATACTCTGTATCAAATTGTGCAACAAGTAGCTCGGCTGAGCTCTTATACTCTATCTCTCCCTTTCGATATGTTGTGTCTCCGAATCACGCATACAAGACCCCAGTTCATCTCAAACCGCTCGGCAAGAACCCTAATTCCTTGCATTTTACTTTTCGTGTGTCTGGTTGTCCTGATGCAGTTGCACGTGGTATTTGCTTGTTGGAATAGTGCTTAGCCCTAGGTCTGAGCACGTTTCACTGGACTGGATTCCAGCCAATAGTTGTTTTTGCGTGGCTAGGTTGTCTTGTTCACTCAAGATCAATGCATCTCAACATGTTGGACGGTGTTTGTTGTGTCAGCGTATGCTCCCACAGACGTTAGCTCTGACGCTGAGGAAGACAGCTTCTATCGAGGTTTGTGACGGTTGCTTCGGTCAGCAAGAAGTGTAGGTATCATGATTCTGGCAGGTGATATGAATACCCAGGTCTGGAATCTCGTCACGATCAGCGTCTCTGCTTAATGTCAGGGATACTCTACCAAGCGATTATGATGCACAGATCCCTGAAACACCGAGCACAGGGTGCTGGCAAGTCGCAAATGTTCGAGAAATTCGCTGAACTCTTGGATGAATGGTTCTTCTGGGCCCTATCAACTGAACATGTGGAGGAGCCATATGAACTTGAGTGGGAGTCCAGGATGTACTTTCATTGCTTCAGTGCAACAAAGCACCTGGCCCAGACAGCTAGCATCCTTGCTCAACTCAGTTGGTGAGATCCTCGTGGCTGGCCTGGCACATTTACCCCAATATACCTGGAGTGAAGACAATATCGACAAGATTTAGCACCTCGAGGACGATTGTCATATTCAGAAAGGGTGAAAGAAAGCGGAAGCCATCTGGGCATCAATGTAGTGGTCAGTGCTTCCAAGATACTCGCTCGTGTTATCTTATACGCGTTAGTCCATCGTCGGGGGTGTCAGGTTCTTGTGAATTAAGCTGGATTTCTCCCTGACCGGGTTGGTTTCGACCGCCTTTTCACTTTGCATTAATCGCTGTAGCTGTACCACTCATTTCGATGATCATCGATGATCATCTTGCTTGATATGAACTATGCTTTTTACTCTAATGACCGTCAGCAGATGTGGCAATGAAGACTATCCTCTCCAAATTCTTGTCTCTTATATGCCTTCACTTGTGGTCACAGCCCCTATCTGGAGAGATAGTTACCGACACATTTGGGTTGGCTAGTAGGCGCTCTCATGCTTGTCAAGTCACGGATTGACATCCCGTGGATGGTCTCCACCCAACACATGGCTAGGCAAAAGGGTCCTGACATATGAACCACATATCTTAACCATTCTAACCTATGGAATGTGGCTGGGTGTAAAATCTAGGCTGCGCTTCGCGCCCTTCGAGGATCAAAACTATTCTATTCAAGTTCTAATCTGAACCTACTGGGTGAAAGGATTTGTTTTCGTCGGTTCTCTTTCAGTTCCTTGATCCATTCCCTTTTTCTTGTCTATGCAGTTGAATTTAGACTGATCCCTAGCACAACCACGTAATATAAATATGTGGTACTAAATTATACCTGTCCACGTTCAGGTTGACCACACTCGACCAAGTGGTAAAGCACTTGGTTACTAAGTGGTCCCCTCCCGGGGCTTTCTGAAGTGCGCATTGTTTGTGATTCATAATAAAGACGGAACAACACCTTTGTAGTTCTTCGTGGCTTCTCCACATATGATGGTTGTATCTTGCAGAATGTAGTCGGCGTTTAAAACCAGGTAATGTTCCCACTAGTCACCTTCCATTACAGTCTTTTCTATACCAGTTTCTAATGTTATGACCTATATACTTCCCTCCTCCATCTTAGGCCTTCGTCTAGAAGCCTCGTCGGAAGCAGCTATGCAGTTCTCAGCGGTGTATGTCCTTCTCTCCGTGCCATGTGTCTACATCATTGCACCATCCGGGAAGGCTGTTGATGTGAAATTGGGTGGTGTCGAAAAGAAAGAGCTGCGTGACTGGATTGCAAAACACACGAAGGATAAGTTTGTGGCATGTAAGTGTTCCTCATTATGTATGTTTTCATGTATTTTCACCTTACTTGCATCAAACTTCGTCGAAAAACTGACAAGACTGTTTTTAACCAGAATAGCCTATCCAAATGGGCTTCTTCCAGGTGAAACTCCCAATTCTGACCATCTTTATTAAGGCTCGTGCGATTTGGGTTAGGTTTACCATTTCTTAAGAAACTGACCGCATCTTCCAACGGGGACCAGTCTCTGAGGCATAAGTTCCTCGCCGTGTGACCCATTCATGTTTGCTTGCTTACCACGGGTGATTGTCTTCAAAGGCCATCGCTCAGGCATACTATTTACAGTGAACATAAAACTTGATAAGTAGCCAGGAATTGTCGTTTAAGGAATCAACCATCCTCGGGAAGCCTCCTTGGATGCGTGCTAGAGGCAACATCAGAGCGGTGTGTACGCATTGTTTTTGTTTTTGTCTTGAGGTGGTTCGCTATTTTCTGACCAGGTTTACTCCGTAGCTGTGCAGGTGTATTGGTGTAGGGGAAGAGGTGGCCCAAGTGGTTAAAGCGCGAATTTACTGACCGGAAGGTCCTGGTTCGAACTCGACCTCTGCCACTCGATTTCCCCTGTCTAGGCCTGGGCGACCTGGCAGTATCTCAGCCCTCGTCCTTCCTCCGGGTGACATGGCAGCTAGGCACCGGAAGGGTGTTACAGCTGAACAATTATTATATTATTATTGATGTAGGTTTAACGCATTTGCGGCTTTCCACCCGCGTTATCGATCCACCAGATACACACGAATCTTCGAAACTACGATTACTTGCAGTGGCTTGTCAAATGTAACCAAGAATTAGACAACGAAGAATAACTGGTAATGATGGTCTGATGCAGCTTTTTTGTTGTTGGAATAGTCTTAATTTCGCTTCAAATAAGTGTGCTGAATCTCTGACTGGTAACAAAGTAGCCGTAATAGACTGGAGTGGTTGATTCCGTTCTTCGGATCAGTATGAACGGATTCATTGGTTTTCCTTTATCAGAAGCTTGTTTGCCTGTTGATCTGCTTATTCCTGATGGGACGCTGTAACCCCTCACCTAGTTACCGTCGATACTTGCGTCGAAAGCAGTTCATACTGGGGACGAATGTCCCCTGTAAAACGTTTCACCTTGCGTTCTGTGAAGGTTTTCCATTTATTGGGATTCAGTTTCATTCTAGACGCTACTTGCATAACACGTTAGGGTAATCGTTCAGCTGTAGCACCCTTTCAGTGCCCAGCTGTCATGCCAACCGAAGGAAGCACGAAGGTTGCGATACTGCCAAGCAGCTTAAGCCTAGACAGGGGAAGTCGAGACGCACAGGTCGGGTTCGAGACCCCGGACACTTCACAGCACAAAAAACTCCGTGTGCTAGTTTCAGTGCCTAACAGTGAAATGCACCACTCGCTACAAAAGTCTCGTTTCTAAAAACAATTGTCCATATTCTGGACAACAGAAACCAATAATTAAGTCCGACTTTGGTCTTGGGGCGGAAATTCCCTCTACAACCGTCTCCGAGAGGCCTTTATGAAGCTTCATCATCATCATCGTCGACAGCATGACATCAGTGTTCAACACCGATGCTTCACTGCCGTATTATGAAGCTTAGAGATCAAAAACATCCAGGCGCTAATGCGTAAATCGATTGCGAAATTTTTTTATTGGCACAGAGTTCATTTTCGATTGTCTTGGTTACTGTCCTCTATGATAGACTGAACCGTGCTGAAATAGTCTTTCAGAAGAGTTGAAACATCAAAAGGTGGCATGTCCAGTGCGTCCCGGAATTACTGGTTTTTCCGTCTCGTTATCGTGGATCCTGATGGTTTAGTTGTAAATAGGCTCTTGAATGAAGTCTTGGTACTGGAAATACGACAACTCCGCGGTGACCGCGGAGAGAAGCTTGGCATACATATTACACCATCACTCTGCCTTTTGAGGCCAAGGGAACGTGGCTATTCCCACCGATTCAGAAGAAATCTCCGCTGACCAGCTGTTGATCAGGAAATCCTATCTAGCATTAGGTCCCCCCAACAAGACCACCACCACCACCACAGGCAATAGTGCTATTTAACTTGCCTTTGTAGGGATCACACATCAAATCACCACTGACGGGGGACGTTGCTGTGGGTTCTTGAGGGGAGAAACCTACCGAGCCATAAAAATCAATCCAGAAAGAAGCACACTAGTGCAGGTCTACGTGATTACATGTCCCTGATGATTCAAGTAGAGGTCTCAGAAAAACCGTTTCGAACGACGTTCGGCAGAGAAGACCATCGGCTATATTGGAGTCATAATCAAGATGTGGTATAGTAACTGAACTGGTTGCGAGATGGCCCAAGTGGTTAGAGCGCAAGTTTACTGACCGGAAGGTCCGTGATTCGAACCCGCCCTCTGCCTTTCGACTCCCCTGTCTAGGCTTGGGCAACCCGGCAGTACCCTAGCCCTCGTGCAACCTTCGAGTGGCATGGCAGTAGGTCACCGAAAGGGTGCTACAGCTGAACGATAGTAACTGAACGGGCCTTTTATCTATAAGATAACGGTTTCCGACGGCCAAACTTTTTCGGGGAGAGGCTTGTCTCAGGCACTGATCTGTCTCCTTTTCATAAAATGAAATAGGATTAACTCATCTTCACAAAGCAAATGACACGCATGTGGAATTCGTGTGGAGCATTCACTTCATATCATTTTCATCAATTTCTCGTGTGTATGCCCTATGAATATTATTCTGAATAGTCTGTGCCAGCTTAGACATGACTTTCCTATTAGAGCTAATAAGTGGTGCTTACCCCTGCCCATACTGGAATTCGAACTTTCAACGGAGTAGGCAACCGTGCTAACACTGCTACCTAGCACATGCAGCATGCATTTGGTTCATCCCGTCTGGACAACCAGACTTATTCTTACTTAGGTAAAGTTCATCCGCCATCAACTGTTTGCCAGACGGCCGGCGTTTGTCCAGGTACTGTTCAGGTCAACTTATTCTCTGTCCTACGATACCCAGCTGTTCACCAACTGCTTCTGGGCCTTGTGGTTAGAACCATTACTCGGCAACTTGAATACGGCACTAACGTATGTCGAATTTCCACCGAAGTTTGTTGAATCCTCAATCTCCTGTCAGTCTGACACTCGCTCACAACGAAAGTGCTGGCAGTAGGTTGGTTCAGCAACGATCTCGCTCATTAACTGAAGGTTCTTCTTCCGAAATAATGCTCCACATACTAATTAACGATAGTTGTGTGCCATTTGCATCAATCAATAAACGTTTCGGTCGACCATTAAGTACCGGTAGTGCCTCAACTCAGTTTTTGGTCTGTTCCCCCCAAACTACCGCTCCAGCAGAACCGTTGGTGCGACGAAAGATACACTGAGTGTGTTGGACGCCAAAAAATCGTGAATAGGGCTTTGCGTTTAAAGTGTATGTAACGATAACATCTTGGAGAATCGAACTGGCAAGCGGCATTAGAATACGATTGGTTGTTGGGTCTATGCTTTGACTAGTCACAGCTCGCCTTGGTGCTGGGCCGACCATCGGCCTGTGGACCAGTCGTGTGGGTGTTAGGCTTATTGATAACTACAGCTGCTAGGTGTGAGCAGCAATGCGCCCAACAGTTTAGCTGTTTTTATCGATCCGCGGAGTGTCCTAAGTTGTCTCTGTATTTGTGAGAATTCGGTTCTACGAATTAACCATTCTTCTGTCCGGGTTTGTGCAATATCTCCCATGATCTGACCGTCGTTCAAAATCTTCTGCAGAGGAAATGAATAGGCAGCTTAGTACACCTGATTCTTTCATACAGGTTCGTTATTTCATTTTGCTCGTGGATAGCGCGCACTTTTCTACTCGCTGACTAGTGGGCGAATGTGAGTGCATGGGAAGCTCTCCAAAAGTATCTCTACAATCAGTGCTGTTTGACTAAGAGTAGAGTGGTTTTAATTGATGGATAACCTCTTTTATTGGGGGTGGACTGATATATATATATATATATATATGTATATATATATATATATATATATTTGCGGGTGTGTG